CCACCAAATCCACCCCTTTCAGGGCCTACCCCTTTGGGGAACAGCCTCCTCACTGACACATCGTTCAGTGTCTGGCTCTGATACCATTTGTAATGGCCCAGGCCCACCGCTAGTAGATATTGTCCTCTTTGGGTTTTCTACAAGGTTTTTAAAACGCGTCTGCTAAGGAGAGGTTTCCACACCCTAATAAAGGGTGTTTCGTTCTCCTCCCCAACCGATGTAAAATTTCATAGACGTTTAGCCGAACAAGGTGGTTTGGTCTGTCATACCGTAGCCACGAGTTACAACGTCGGCATAGCTAGGGGCAACTATCCCATAAAACCTAAGCAACTGAGAAAGAGCAACACTTCCTTTGATCCTATCTTATCAATCACTTCGCCCATAAAAGGTTGAAGTTGTTGAGATAATGTAAATCTAAGCATTGAATAAAGGCTCAACATAAAGAACTAACGCTCGTTTCGATTGCTATTAACAAAAATTTGAAATCTATTTACAACTAAAGTCAATACAGCTTTTAATAAGTAAACCCTAATTGGATCTTTTTTTCAACTTAATCATCCTGGAAAAGCTATAAACATCAAACAACAGCCAATTCCACAAGAAGAGATCAGAAGCAACAGGCTACCACAAATAAAGAAAAAAAAGAGAGAGAGAGAGAGAGAGAGATTTGATACAATAGGGTAACCTGGAAATGTCGACCATTAGTTTCTGATCAGCTTAATTTGGCTAGCACTTTGTAGCGAGTGTGGATTCATCATGCTGGGAGGATTTGGGTTTACCATTCGTCTAGTGTCTTCAATGACACGAAACATGGTAACTTTGAGCACGATTTCTCGCACCCTGAGAAGCTCAAACACACAAACGTCGCCCTCCCCTAAATTATTTTCCAGGCAAAACTCATACCATCCCTGACTTAACTTGGCCCGACCAACTTTATAAAGACACCGGACCGGCCACTGTCTCCCATCGGGTGTCTGAAGTTTGATGAATCCTGAAACCCCACTTAGATTCTTTTCAGCAAAGCAAGATGGCAAATACTGTAAAAGTAGAGTGCAGACTATCATAGTTAGTGCTCACAGAATTCAATTATAAAGCTCCCATATTAGATATTTCAATAACCCAAAAATCTTACCATTATGCAACCTCTGTATAGATAAGATGGTCGCAAGACGACCCTACAGAAGGGATTAGCGGGCTCGAACGCTTTTGCACCATTGACAACTCTTTCTCTTTCTTCTGCTGTTACAGTTCTCTTTCTAGCAGAAGCACTTTCATAAAATCTAAAGCGATTGTCACCGAAATCTTCACTATGAGCAGACGGACGATGCTCGCCTACAGATTGTAAAATATTGGGTAAGATAATTCATAGATTTACAATGCTAAAATGTGAAACAATGGGACAGGAGCATACTAGAATCAAGTTTCCGCTTCTTGCCTCCACTTTTTTTAATTCTGTGAGCATCATCACCCAAATTCTGGAATCTCACCTCATCTGCAGACTTTTTAACCTCCACAGCACTAAACTGAACCCCGATATCTCGAGTAGGTAAATATTTGGATTGCAACGTACTTGCAGATTTTGATTGGTGCAGATTCCATTCATCACCAAATAGCTTGTTTCGTAAAAAACCTGAGTTCAAAGGCTGATTGGAAGGAATGGCTTCAGGAATGTCATAATCCTCCATTTCTTCAAATATTCGGTTTTGAATGCTGTAATTGTTCCTTTGATTACCACCGAGAGCAGCAGATTGGTAGTTTATCTCAGATGTATTAAGATTAAAGATAAAAATACAGAATGATGAGTTTCCCTCATATCTGAATACTAACAAAAACCCGACCCTTATCGAGTAATGCTCAAGAAATCCATGCCACCCATCTTCAAACCAAAACTTATTATCAGCTTTCCTCAACCCCACACGCCAAACATGGCCATCAGGAACAGTAAGTGTTGCAACTGCAGAAAGATCATCCCTGATCATCCGGAGGAAACTTTCCGGGATTCTCTGCAAAAATAGAGCAGTGACGGCGTCACATAAATAATCGATAATACAGAAAAATAACACCATTCCAACATATTCACAAGATGACTCAAGCACTATTACCATTCAACAAACTAAGTCTTGCCTCCTGAGCTTCCCCTCAAGGTTTTAAAATGCGTCCACTGGGAAGAGGTTTCCCCACCTTTATAAGAAACGTTTCGTTTCCCTCTCCAACCGATTTGGGATCTCACAATCCACCCCCTTAAGAGCCCAGCATCCTCACTGGCACACCGCCTAGTGTTTGGCTCTAATACCATTTGTAACAGCCCAAACCCACTATTAGCAGATATTGTCCTCTTTGGGCTTTCCCGTTCGGGCTTCCCCTCAAGGTTTTTAAACCACATATGCTAGGGAGAGGTTTCCACACCCTTATAAAGAATGCTTCGTTCTCCTTTCCAACCAATGTGGGATCTCACAAAGCCAAAGGGAAATGCTGCCTAATTGAAAAGGGGAAATAGTAGAACAATTGATCTATGATTGTAAAAACAAAAATCCTCTAAAGTGGCTGCAGCCAACAGATAAATTGCATAACATGGAAAGCCTAGGCCAAGAAAACCAAGCAAAAATAAGCAAGCAAAAATAAGCGATAGCATAGACCGCATTATGAGAAGCACACAATCCCAAAGCAATAAGCTAACATGACATTCAGCAAGAATAACAAAAGCTTAACATGATGAGCAGTGAAAATAACAATACAACAAAAGACCTATGGAGTTTGCTTTTGACAAGATCCCAACTACTAAACTGGACTAATTCAGCACTAAGAAACAATGGAAAAATATATCAATACTCATTACCAAGGAATCAAAATCTATTATTATGATAAGAACATAATGATACAATGCATATCAAATTAGAACAAATCTAAAAATGCCATCCCTAAAGACTAAGAAGCAAGAACTTGAAGAGAAGGGGTCTAAAATTGAGAAAGTTACTGAGAAGCAAATCATTTAGTAAGCATAGCCAATGCATTCAGATTACTGAAACTAACAAAAAGAATCAAAAACATGATTAATAAGCTTAAAAAATGAAAAGGTCAAGCTCCAAATTCAACAATAATAACCATATTACGACCAAACAAGTTCTTTGATTAATCAAAACTAACATAAAAGTAAGTAAATCATCAACAAAACCAAGTATATCCCAATTGTTTTTCCTTCTTCCCTGATAAAACAGAACACAGATATCTGGGTTTTAGCTTGATTCCATCAGAAAACTCGTTGAACACGAAAGAACTCAGCAAGAGATACACAAGAAACAAGAAAAACTGAGAAACAAACAGTAAAAAGAAGAGCACTCGAGGCTGATTACTCAAAAAACAAGCAAGGGAAGCAAAACCCGTTAAAATCAAACAGAAAAGCATCAAGAACGTACCAATTTCCTAGCTTGGATAGTGGAGGAGAGAACAAGCTTGTGGAAATAAGGGCGCGGCATTTTCCTTTTGAGATAGCCCGTTCGGAAAGCTGAAAAATCAGTCATTCAGCATAACGATTCAAAGCCCTCCCTTCAATTTTTTTCTCGCAAGAATCCAAACAACCGGCCGACCGTTCGCCGGATTTCTCTCTCTCAATCTCTCCCCTCAATCTCCGCCGTATGAGACTCTGTTCTATGAGCCCTCAGATCTACTTGCCCCTCTTCCACTGATTCTTCTTCTTCCAGTCAAATTCCATTTCTTCGAATTAATAATTAAAACTAAAAACAAAAGTCCAAAAAAGAAAAAGAAAAAGAAAAAGAAAAAAAAAAAAAATCATTCCTGGGAAAAGAAAACTCAACTTGACCTAAAAGTTGAACCAGCCGATGGAAGGCGTGGCCCACGTGAACCATCCCAACTCGGCTCGGTTTGAATCGGTTTAACTCGGCCGGGTCCACCTAGTCGACTCGTTAACATTTTGTTTGATATTTTAAATTTATTTTATTAATCTCATTAATTTTTAATTTTTTTTATATATTTTTAAATATTTTATTTTAGTCTGTGAAAAGGTTATTAATTTAAGTATTTTCAATGAAAATAAAGAATTTACACAAATATTGTTATTAGTACCCAACATCCGTATCATTGAGGATGACAATATTTCAATGGGAGAAAGAGTCGTGATCATATTAGAAGAGAGGATAGGTTATGACTTGCACAGAGTGTAAAAGTGATGGTGACTTGTTATCCATTAACCCGATAAAAGGGTCGAGAGAGAAAGTTAGTGCATCACCTAATACACCCAAAAGACATCCACGAAAAAACCAACTAGATAAAAAATAAGTGTTTCACAAATTTTATATGAGGTTGTATGAACTTTTTGAGATGCTATGTGTCACAATTGCGCTGTTGCAATAATAGGACAACAATTGTGTAGCACTTGTTCTAGCCCAACGAACAAGTCACCCGTGTGAAATTGGTACTTCGCAGACAATATCAACTTATGCTCGAGTCCCGGATCACGTTTGAGAGAACGTTTTAGAAAAGGTGAGCAAGAAAATATGTTAAAAACAATTTTAAAGAAATCATTGTTATAAACTAAAAGAAAGTAGGCAACAACAAAGATTCGATAGCATAGCATATAACCTGAGTAGGAAGAATTGACAACGAGGCACATCCCTTATCGTATATTTTGGGGCATTTTAGCTATGGCGAGTGTAAACATGATTTTGATGATCTGTCATACACCTCATATAAACATAACTTGAAATGGTAAAAGTCTATTTAACATGAAAACAAGTAAAAAAAAGTTTGGTAGGGGCATGCGACCATGGACAACACGTCTTTGATAAGTATGATCGGGATATTTGACATGCGATCACAAACAACACACCTTGAATAAGCTTGACGGCCATAGATCACGCCTTAACAAACAGCCATGACACCATCCACTAAATTTGAGATTTAGAAATCTAACCATTAGTTTGCAATTTAAAAAATGAGATAAACCCAAGTGGTTTTAATTTGAACTGTTTCTTGAGATCCAACTGGACCGCGGATATAATCGTTTCCCGCGTTCGGTAAGAGCCCTTCTCCTCTCTTTTTGCGACTCCTTTTTTTTTTCTTGTTCAAATGGTTTCTGGAAGAATTGGAAACCTGCACTACATTTGATTTGTTTTAATTTCTCCACCAAATCCTTACAGGTATGAATTAATTTCTTTTTCCATACTTTTTCCTCAAGCAAAAGAAAATCACGCTTCCGTTCCACGTTTTTTTTCTACAAATTTCTCGTTCTTAGGGATTACCGCCCTCTGATCTTACACAATATTGGAAATCGGAAATCGGAAATCGGAAACACTCTGCATTATCTTGACTCCACGGTAGAGAGATCTTATTTCTGTTGATTCTCTGCGTTTTCTTATCGTGGTAGATGATGAAGAGAATAAGTGAAGGCAGAATTGCTGCGATGTGGATGGTAGTGACAGAGGCTTTGGTTGCGTTGGCGCTGATTTTGGTTGCGGAAGGGACGGAAGGGACGGATACGAACGATGTATACAGTCCTTGTTTGGATGCGAAGATTCAGAGATCAGACGGATTTACTTTTGGCGTAGTGTTTTCGTCGAAGGAATTGTTCTTTCAGGATAATATTCAGTTTTCGCCTTGCGATAAGCGTCAGGCTTTGACATTCAAAGTTGCTCAACTTGCTGTTTTCAGGCCTAAAGTCGACCAGCTCACTTTCCTCACCATCAATAGCACAGCCTTCAATCCGGTACCTCTGTGATTTATACGTTAGTTTCATTACAAAATGTTCATCCATTACTGTTTTCATCTGAAAATTTGCTCCATTGATTTCGTTTCTTTCTCTGATTTGTGGTAATTAATGGATGAAAGTATGATGCAGTGCTATAATAAGTCAATCCATGATGGATCAATGGGAGTTCTATCATTTAGAAACAAAATTCCAACCAACTTTAAATAACTTCGCATAAAATGTTGCCCTTTGACATATCTAGTTAGCAGTTGGAAGCATTTATAAAGCTGGCGCTACTAGGGACAACAAAAAGAAAAATTCCCACAATTGTACACATTAAAGAACAATATTTCCATTGGTCAAATCATTGGGTGGGTCACTAACTTTTTGAATGTTTTCCTTTGAACGAGAAATAATGGAATAGTTCGAATATTAGTAGATGTGAAATTTCGGTTAGGAATAACCCTTCTATAAATTTTTCACTTTGAGTAATAAGCTCTTATGACTTTGCTTTGAGTTTCTCAAAAGATTTCGTGTTAATGGAAATAGTATTCCTTCTTTATAAACTTATGATTAGCCAATGTGAGACTCCCTCCCAACAATTTCAATAATTCCGTGATGATTTTTGCTCGGCTACGTATGATGGCTATATGGTGGCATTTGCTGGGCTGAAGTATGCAGCAAGGTCTCTCCCAGTGATGGTTACTGATAACGCTCACACCATTACCAGTTTCACTTTGGTAAGCCCACAAAGGACAGAAAAAACAAAAGTGAAAAATCACCATCTTAATGGTAACAAAGGGTTCTATTCTCCTTGTCTCTGTCTATATTGCTTTCTAGGTTTTTGAATTTCAAAAGAGCACTCTTCAAAATCTGTTCTGGAAGAAATTTGGGTGTGATAAATGCTCTGGGGATTTTTCAACTTGCCTGGATAAACAAGACTGTGCAGTTCCCAGCTCCAAATGCAAGTACAATGGTGGTTCAATTGACTGCAATTTAGGCATACAACTAGCATTTTCAGGGACAGACAAGAACCTCCAAGTCCTCGACTCCTGGTTTGAAGTTAACCATCTCAGACGCTTCTCCCTCTATAAACTTTTCTCCGACGTTCGCGATAAGATCACCAATCTGTTCCAGTGAGAATCTTTTATATCTTCAGCTCTGTAGGCAAGGATCCAATATGAGTTGTGATCTGCACATGTCAAGATGGCTTATTCATTGGAAAGGTTATGTTGTCATTGGTCCATGCTCTGTAACTGTACAATCTTGAAGATTCAATCTATATATATAGAGAGAGAGTTAAAATGTATTCTGCAGAAATGAGATTACTGACCATTTAAGATGGAAAGGTTTCTACACAAAAGATACAGATCTGAGGGGATATCTTTATCCCTTTTCTATCTAATCACCACCACAAAATCGAATGATCTTGATCGAAGATCGAGTTCTCGTCGAGATCATGTCCTAAAAGGGATTCAGATCCACTGGGATGTCAATCAAAAAACAATTCTCTGATCCCAACTGTTAGAATTCAACTAAACCAAATCTTCTTCTCCTCCAATCCACCATTGCCATTTACAGCTACTTTTCCTTCTTTCTCATGCCATTCTAGTAAAAATGCTCACTTCTCTGAAAATTTAGCTTGTTCCATTTTACCTTCAAAGCCATGGATGTTGACAGAGGAAAGGGAATTGTCATGCTCCGGCAGTTGGTTCGCCAAAGCTTGTGAACTATCTACAGAACCTACACCTTTCTGGTTCAGCGGAGCACCGCGAGTTTGAATGAGATAATGTGCCACAGACTTGAAACCCAAGTTCTGGGCCTGAGAGTAAAATGAAATTAGCTTTTCGTTGACATTACTAATCGATATGATTCCAGACGACGAAACAATCACTACTCAAACATTCCTTACAAAAGGTTACATCATTTCTGAAAATCTAGAAGGAAAATGTTTGTATATGTACGTAAATGCACGAGTACTAACCTTTCTATATATCGCACCGGTAGGCATCCATCCATTTAATTGTCGACACAAACTGCAGTTGCAAATACCACGACACACTGGGCAGTTCCAATTGGGATTCATACTCACTTCCAATACATTCTCTCCATATCTATATAAAGATAGAAGTTGCATACAGATAACTGTTCATATAAGTTGCAGAAAAGGGCAAGAAGCCCAATGCATGTTCTCAATAGAACCAAATGAATCCACAGGGAAATACACTATGATTGCAGCATATAAATTCATATCAGGCAGAAGTTTCAATTGGGCATGAGTCCAATCCAATCCAAGATTTAGACAATAAATTAAATTACCAGAAGAATGTCGTGTATCCTTCAAATCTTTTTTGTATTATGGTCAAGTTAAATTACCTAAACTTTCATGTTTGTGTCTATTCGGTCCGAAACTCTAAAATGTTTCCAAAGTTAAATTACCAGAAGAATGTCGTGTATCCTTCAAATCTTTTTTGTATTATGGTCAAGTTAAATTACCTAAACTTTCATGTTTGTGTCTATTCGGTCCGAAACTCTAAAATGTTTCCATAGGTCCTTGAACTTCGAGATTTATGTCTATTTGATCCCTAAATCTTAAAAAGTGTCTAAGAACCAACGAGACACAAAATTGAAAGTTTATAAACCGATCAGACATTTTTAAAGTTCAGAAAGACGCTTTTCAAAAGTTCAAGATCAAATGACTATATTGATTTACCGCGTGTACAAGCAATCTCCACATAATTGCCCTTGGCCTGATTTACATTTGCTGCAATGTGTATGGTGACCAAGAGTCTTCTGTCTGCAAGTCATCACATAGATCGTCTCAATTGATGAGTAATAACGACACTATCGAAAACCAAGTGAAGAACGTAAGAACCATGAGATTTTAGAAAATATAAGAGACAAGAGCACACTGACGTCTTTTCGATGTACCTATGACCACGTAGTGAGATACGAATAAAAATTCTTAAAAAGTTCTCCTAAATAGGTGGTAAAAATGACATCAGAGCCAGACACCGAATGGTGTGCTAGCGATGGACCCCTAAAGGGGTAGATTGTGAGATCCTACATCGGTTGGAGAGGGGAATGAAACACCTCTCCCTAGCAGATGTGTTTTAAAACTGGGAGACTGATGATGATACGTAATGAGCCAAAGCGAACAATATCTGCTAGCGGTGGGTTTGGACCGTTACAAATACAAATAAACCATATTGAAAAGTAGGAGGGAAGAGCTTCTATTTACTAGTGTGGAGGAAAGTTTTATTCATTGCTATTCAGTGTAGATCGGTCAAAAACATTTCTTTCTCAAACAACCTTGTGCCTATCTAGGAAAGAAAGGTCTAAACTATCCTCGAGATTGAATACAGATATTATTGGGACCTTAATTAAACGCTTACTATCAACATCATATATAAATAACAAAAATGAACTGAATAAACATTGTCTAGTCATTAAAGTATATTCGAAGAAACAAAAGGAAATTATAAACTTGTATGTATTACCTGCATTGATGACACGACTCTCCATTGATAGGATCGTACATACGCTTCCCGTCTTGATCATATCCATCCACACCAACAGTCCAACTCAACTCGCAATCTCCCAACAACTTGGCATCTTCTTCAGTGTAAACTTCTGGTTGTGAGCCTTCTTTTATGTGAATCTCATTACTTTTAGAACTTCCACTCTTAGTTTTCGGACGGAGCTCCTCGTAACTTACTGGAGTCAATGTCTTCAACCTGCAAATCACTATCAGATATTGTCCTATTTGAACTTTCTCTTCCGGGTTTCCCCTCAAACTTTTAAAACGCGTCCACTTGGAAGAAGTTTCCACATCCTTATAAGGAATGCGTCGTTCCACTCTCCAACCAATGTGGGATCTCACAAATCACCCTCCTTGGGGGTCCAGTATCCTCGCTGGCACACCGCTCGGTGTTCGGCTATGATACCATTTGTAATAGCTCAAGCTCACTACTAGCAGATATTGTCTCTTTGGGTTTTCCTTTCTAGGGTTCCCTTAAGGTTTTAAAATGCATCCACTAAAGAGAGATTTCCAGATCCTTATAAGGAAGGATTCGTTCCCTTCTCCAACCAATGTACGATCTCACATCCACAAACTTACCTCTTGGCAAAATGTTAATTTATTGCCAATCATATTCTTTCTCTCAAGTCCAGATCTTCAATGATCTTAGCAATTAAACAATAGTTTTGTATTTTGATAGCTATGTTTTTTGTTACTTGTTCTATCTTGATCCGTAGGCTTCTAAGAAAATTAGAGTAATTCTGACTGTACCTAGAAATCTTGTGATAGCAAGGAAGGTTCATTTTCATGCAACGAAGTCTAAACGTGTTAATGAGCAGATATCAACAGCTTAATAGATATTACATTCATCACTCACTCAACGCAGGGAGCATCGAAAGAACAAAAGCTTCAACAAGTGAAGGAAATAAGAAACAATACCTCGAAGAGCGCCTCGGGGGCTCGTCGGCGGGGGATCCGTTCGGCGATTCCTTCTCAGAGGAATTTTTGCGTAACCGCTTCGGAGCAGCGGCGGTGGACTTAAGCTTGAGAGAAAGTTCAACAATGCCAAGTTTCTGCATCCTCTTCAGATTTTCCTTAACCCTTTGATCCCTAAGCTGCTCGTAACCTGGAGCAGTAACCTCAGCCGCGGATCCTTCATCGACGGTCCCATTTCCGGCAGCGGCGCCTCCTCCTCCGCGGCTCTTTCTCCGAGAAACCATTGCCGCTCCGTCGTCGAAGAAATGGCGAGAAGATTGTCGAGGGATTGGGGGAATTCTTTCAACAAATTGCCGCCAAGTTATTAGCAGAATCCATTACACAAAATTACCTTAAAAATAAAATTTAAAATACGTTAATTTTTTAAAAAAGTTTCAAATAATTTTACCTTAATTTTTGATGAAAATGATCGTACATTGAATTTTTAAATTTTTTGTTAAACTCTTAAATTTATTAAAAAGAATTCATAAACACCTTTAAAACTTTTCTTAAAAAATTTAAAAAACAGTTTCATATTTCAAAAATAAACTTTCACAATAGCATTAAAAAGATTAGCTCTATAGATAATTTTAGTTCATATGTTAACCATAACAATTTTTTGAACTATTAATTATAAAGGTAAAAAATTTTAATGTTATTTTCAAAGTTTCATAAATATTTTTTAAATACACATTCAACCAATCAAAAAGTCAAAAAAAAAAATTAATGAAATTTTTTGAAGTATAGTATTAATTCCGAATCAAGGATAAAAAAAAAAAAATATATATATATATATATATATATATATATATATATATATATATATATATATATATATATATATATATATATGATATTTTTAAAATAAAGTCAAAAGTCAAAATATAGGGACAAAAATAATCATCAATACAAGTAGAGTCAACGCGTTTGTAAACTACTTTTGTCCATCTCCACAACAGTCCATTCATCAATGCCTATTAATACCTCATTGGTCAAACTATGGAGATTTGAAAGTCAATTAAATTTTATCATAATTGCAAAAAGACCCCTAGAATTTTGGTATTTCTTTACCATCCTACTCTTGAATTTATCATTTGATTAATCAATTCTCTATATTTTGTTAAATGTTTCAATCTAATCCGATAAGGATTGCAATTACCTCCGGTAATTTTTGTTTAGATTTCTCAATAATAAACTTATTTTTCCCAGTTAATGTGTAGATATACAGAGCATAAAATGACTATTCCAACCAAAAAAAAAAAGAAGGGAGCGAAAAAAGATTATCATCTATTAGCTATATGGGGACGGAGACAGAGACAAGGATCGCATTCCCCGTCCCTATCTCCAACTCTAACCTTGCTCCATCCCACTCTACTATATATATATAATAAGTTAATTTTGTGACTTAATTATATCATAATAAATAAATATTTTTTAAAGCGTTGAAGACTATATTATAAAATTTATTTTTTTTTAAATGAAATATTTTTTTATTTGTTAAAATATTTTACACTTTATAATTAAAACTATATTAAAAATAGAAATTATTCATGAATATTTTTATATATATATATAATAATATGAGAAAAATCTAGCAATAGAGTAGAAGGGGTTGATTGCAATATTTAATAAAGTTCAGGAGTTAATTGATTAAATTGAAAAGTTAAGGGGTGATTGTAGCAAATGTTATAATTGAGAGGTGGGTTTTGCAATTTTTCCAAAATTATTTTGAAATAAAACCCCAAATCTTACATTTCAAAGCCCAAAAAAGAGAAAAAAAGAAAAAGAAAAAGAAAATGCAATATTTGAATATT